TTAACAAAATGTTATAATCCTCTAAAACAATTATTATTAGCACAATAGAATAAATACAATAGTAATTTTTATTTATTTGTCTGATAATTACACTGGATGAATAAACAAAGTTACAATTTATACACACAATGAAAATAATATGACCTATAGGATTTACTTGAATAAAGCTAGGAAACTATAGATGCGCGAAAATGACTAAAAACACTTCTGCTGCCAGGCCAGTAGTTGGCGATGTCACTCTGTAAAGAAACACTTTGCTTATATGTATTACCAACCCGATCTCACGACCAATTCGTCCGAATTTGACGAGTGATTAAAAGATGGCTGATTCGTAACAATTCGTACGACCTCACTCGTACGAATTAGTACGATTTTTGCTAAAACGTACATATTTGACGAGTTGCCCAATTCGTATGAATTCGTACGAATGACCTACCCCTGACCCCGCCCCTAAACCTACCTATCACGTGGGTTTAGACAAATCGTACAAATTCGTACGAATGAGGTCGTACGAATGAGGTCGTACGAATGAGGTCGTACGAATTAGCCATCTTTTAATCACTCGTCAAATTCGGACGAATTGGTCGTGAGATGGCGTTGGTATTACGCATCCGCACATATTCACGTTGGAGACGATAATGGTATTATTTTCTTTGAATTCTGTTTAAAAATGTATTTATTTTTTGCGTTTTCAAGCCCCCATAACCCAGATGTCATGTAAATGAACAACCAAAACGCATAAAAAGTTTTTCGTTTTTAGTTGAAAACGATGTTGTGTAAAAATGGCCCCTGAAATATTTTTTTTTCAAACATATTCCTAATCTTTTGATTTATTTACAGCTTCTTTCAATATCATTTTTAAAGAGCATGCTGTAGGTGGAATTCTGCAACACACACAAGCACATCAGTGTGTCAGCGGCAAACTATCCACGGACACACTCGACAGCACTATGCTTTCCACAGTAAAAGTCTATATTAGGAGCACGTGTCTCCATGCAGTGTCTCATATTTTCCATAAACAGCCTAGAGCTCTTGGTTATGTGACTTACCAAAGAGAGACCACACAGAAAACAAATATACCAGCATGTGAGCCTGAGGTGAAGAGCCAAACTAATTTATCATTAAAGTGGATTGATACAGCTAAACCATTTTTGATAAGGATCATCATTAGTAACCATTCAGATTTAAACTTGAGGTCAGTGTGAAACAGCTTAATGCAAAGTTTCATAACTTTAAGCAGAGAAAACATTACTTTTCACATGCAAACTGCACATTTTCATGTTTTATCAAGTCTCTTTAGCTAAAGCCTCTGGGACTGAAGCCCTGCTGCTGGCCTTGTGTTTCCAGTGACTTCCAGAGCACACACTCCTGAGAGACAACCAATTACCCAGAGATCACCAGCGGCTCCAGTCTTCCCACTAGCTAATAAATGTCTCCTGCTTAATCCTAATTACATTTAGTCATTAGTCATCCGAGAACGACCTGTGCTGAAACCATCTAGACAAATGCTGCATTATGTCAACCTACAAAACCTGAAACACTTCTTTCTTCAGAATATTCCAGTAAACAATCATGCAGCGAAATACACGTTAGATAATGTTATCAAAGATAAATGGGGTAAACGACGTGATGCTCAGCCCAGACCTATCAAGTTTTTAAAAACATTTTAAAATGCAAAATATTTGATTTTATTTAAATACATCGACCATTTAAAATTTCATAGCGCATTACTATTTTTACATTTTCATGATTATCTGGTAACACTCTACATTAGGGTTCCGTTTATTAACTAGGGGTGTAACGATACCCTCATGTCACGATTCGATACATATCACGATACGATATTATTGCGATACTCCAAGACATATGATAAAAAGTTAACAAAAAATGTACTGTTTATTAAAATGCTAACTTTGATATTACATTGTGGGTTTAAATGAATAGGTTTGGACTTGGTGCTTGTTACCCAAGGACAATGGAGACACCAGAATAAAAATATTTATGATTCTGAAGCTGAAAATACAGAATTATTTTAGACGAATATGCTTTACTCTGTCACTGACTAAATATATTTAAAATAATGTAGGCCACTTTTTACTGGTAACAACAGACATTTGGCATTATCCTGACCCACAAATATTCCCCCATTGCATTATTATACATTATAATCAACATTATGTATAGTAGTTTAATGTAGTACTGACACTAAAACTCTGAAAAATTGTAAAAAAAATTCTCACACAGTAATTTTTATTTTGGGGGAACTATCCACAATACATATTGTCACTATCCACGATACGCATTGTTGCATTTTTGTATTGCGATATATTGTGGCACGATATATTGTTACACCACACCCCTACTGGTAACATCAGACATTTGGCATATATATATATATATATATATATATATATATATATATACACCGGTATAGTAGTTTAATGTAGTACTGACACTAAAACTCTGTAAACTTGATTTTGTTTTCTCATCGATAGTTTTCATTTTGGGTGAACTATCCACGATACATATTGTTGCATTTTTGTATTGCGATATATTGTGACACGATATACTGTATTGTTACACCCCTATTATTAACATTAATACCATTTAATAAAAATATATTTTTTATTATTTTTTTTACAGAATTTATTAATCTAGGTTAATGTTATTTTATACAGGGTACTATTGTTCAGTTAAGTCATGCTTGTTCATAATACATTAACAAATATTTATGAAAAAAAATATTTAATAATTTCTTTGTTATTTTCTAATACTGAATGCATGCTAACCTTAACAAAGTCTGAACCTCATTGTAAACTTTTACCGATTAGCTTTGCCGATTATCAAGCACTGAAAGTTAATTTCTAATAAAACCAATAATTTAATATATTATAAATAAACTTAATGTTATGATGCCTAAGACTCACTTGTAACATTTAAAAAGACTTCTTTGGACAAAATAGTACTTATTGAATTTAAATATCGGCCACAATATTATCAGTTTCAACAAATCTGTGCATTCATACTTCTACAGTAAACTTTTAAGTATGCTACTTTTTAAAAATAATTTTAGAGTCATTAAATCAGATTTTGTGATTTTTTTGGGATTTTTAAAAACTTATAAAAAACAACTGACACCAATATGAAAACAATTGCATTCACATTACTGAGATCTACATTACAGGGTTCCCGGTAAGACGATGACTTTTCCAGGCCAGGAGAAATCACAATTCATACAGATTTTCCATCTACGATAGCAATGCATAGCAAACTGTAGCCAAGGCCTTATTCCAACAGCTTTTGCTGTCAGAGTCCCTTTAGTCTTTTTAAGAACCTCAAAAAAAAAGTCGTAGTAAAATGCTAGGCTAACATTGGCAATCATGAGAAAGATTACAACCTTTCGAAGTCACAATATCATCCTGCCACTATTTAATAATAGCTACTACAACATAAATCAAACATTTCCACGTTGTGCATACATGATGAATTCGCAACAGATGGGACAACAACAACATTCAACCAGCAGCTCTAGCATTCATCAGGGCAAAAGCAACTGGAAGCTTCAGGTCCGCAGAAAGTTGCGAGGATCAACAGATGAAACATTGTAACCGCAAAGCCGTTCGAATGTTCCAGTTCAGGCTGTTACATTGAAACGTGCTCGGCAAATACAGTGAGGAGATTAGTAATGCAGCCGGAAACCTACCACGAAAGCTCATCTTCACAAACCCACAGGATGCGTGTGCTTTGAGATTCATCAGGAGTAAGTGTGTGAACGTCTTGAAGAGATCCGCTGCTCTAAACAGCTCACCACGCATGTGTGTTGGGATTTGCATAGAAAAATCAGTTGATGAAGTGTATTGAATTATTGGTAACAGAGGCACGTAGGTCTCCGATAGAGTTTTCGAGGTTTTGTGATCACTCACTGACCTCCTGAAGGCGGGGCAATACCTCATGTGTGTGTGTGTGTGTGTGTGTATGTTTGTTTGTTTGTTTGGGTGGGTGGAAAAAAGGACGAGAATGGGAAAATCGAAGTCGTGCCATATTCATTTCACAGGTAATGGCCTGTTGTCTGCAGTTGAATGCAATTATTGATTGTTTTGTTTATTACTGAGAAAATTACTGTCAGGCAGTGCCCTTAAGTGACTTATTGCTTTATTCTTACTGCATAAGATTCCCTGAAATTTAGGAAATTATAATAATATATCAAATACACATGGCAAGCATATACAACATTCATTCATGCATTCATTCATTCATTCGTATGCCGCATTTAAAACACTCAGAATTGTTTTCATTAAATACTTTATTTAATGATCAAACAATTCTGAGTGTTTTAAATGCGGCATACGAATGAATGAATGAATGAATGTTGTATATGCTTGCCATTTGTATTCGATATATATTATTATAATATCCTATGAAATGGAATGAATGGTCAGTGGTCATTTGTGGTCAGTTGCGCCACCTACTGGTCAAGAATGTGAGGTGCCCCTCACACAAAACTGTAATAAGAAAAAAACAAATAGCCTATGGCTATATATAAGTATACACATTGTGCAAGTTTCTTGACATCTGTCAAATTAAGTGCCATTTGATAATTATTCATCTCTGTGAAGATTCTACATAGAAAAAAAAAATGTTAAGAATGGGCCATATATTTACCCCCTGGAATTGATTTTTAGGGGAATTTTGATTTTTTTTTTTTTTCTTAAATAAAACACACGATCTACTTTCCAGTCATGCCAAATCATTAATTATTTATTGAATTAATTATTTATGCATTTAACTTAATTAAAAAATATTGAAGTAGCTTTAATGGCAAAATGTCTTACATTGATACAAGATTACGTTACATTATTTATGTATGTATACACACAGATACACAGATGCACACATACACATTTACAGAAATAAATAAACAACATGGGAAAAACATTAATAAGTTGTTTGATCAAAAGACTTTTATTTTGAAAATTGGCTGTGTTTGAGCTTTCGGTGACGACTATCACAAAGTGATCACTTTGTTTTGCTTTCGTTTGCTGAAATAACATGGCTTTTCAGTGTCAGAGGGACAGTTATTTGCAGCAGGTATGCGGCTATTTCAGATTTTAAGACATTTGTAGCGCCAGAGCAGTGAATAAAGAGCATTAAGTGACCTGAATGTGTGAACACAGTGTTTTTAACGGCAGCACATGTCCAGCAGTGACAGCTGCAGAGATTGTACTTCTCTGCATACAGTTCATGTGTAATTATTACACATGTTGATTTGATATTAATCCAGAGTGTATGTTTAATATTGTGTAAAAATGCATTTGTCACTTCAGGAATATTTAGGTCAGCTACATACATTCAAACCAAAAAGTCAATGTTATTTTTGTTTGTGCACTTGCCTTTTACAGTTTGACACGTCTGTCGTGTCTTGCGTGCCTGCAGAATTGAAACTAGAGAATAATGGGAAAAAAGAAAAGCTGAAGGGTTTTAATGTGAATCTGAAAGACACGATTCTGTTTCCAGAGGGTGGAGGACAGGTAAGTTCTCTTTCTCTAATGTCATGCAATGCTGGTGGTAACTAGACACAATGTTTGAACAATCCCTAAATACATATTTTAATAGCATGAGCTTGATTTGAGATTGATGTCTTTTCATCATTCCCAGCCTGATGATCATGGGACGGTCGGTGGTGTCCCAGTCCTGCGTGTGGTGAGACAGGGTCCAGAGGCTGTGCATTTCATCAGCTCTGCCCTGGAGGAGGGTCAGGAGGTCCACATCAAACTGGACTGGGAGCGACGGTTTGACCACATGCAGCAGCATTCGGGTGAGGAAGGAAGGAATGTGTTTGAGAGAACTAAAACCTCACATATGAAATAAAATAATAGTGGGAAAGATTATTAAACAGTTTATTTAGACAAAATATAAACTTAAAAAAAAAAAAACATTTGCTAGCTTTTATGTCTTATACTATGATGTAGGAGAATATAAAACTCATATGAAGATTGAAGAGAAAAAAAACACCTCAGTTGTATTCAGATATCCAAACTGAGCAAAATATGCAATTTGGTGCAGTTGCTAATATTCATATGGTGAAATTCTGGAAGCTTGTAATTTAGCAATAGCAGACTACTTGCATAAAATGCATGTACAATTTAAATATAAGTTGTAAATCTATCTCCCAATAATACAGTATGTCTTAGTAAGATGATTTTTAAATACTTTTATGATAATAGTTGTGTGATCAAACCTCTGTAGTTTTCATTGTGGAAGCAAAGTATATAATGCAATGCAATAAATTATGATTGTGCGATGTACAAATAAAAGTTCCTCAATAGCCTGATAGATCATATTTGATACTCACATTTCAACATGATTTTTCTAAAAGATTATGTATGGATAATCAAGTAAACCCAAGTGGCTTCAGTCCAGTAAGTGTTCATCTAGAAATATTACTATATAAAAGCTTTTCCGTACAGTCATATTCACAATTTCACAACAAAACAACACATGTACCATGATCTAACAGAGGTTTTTACAATTGTACTAAAAGACCTTTAACATGCTAAAAAAGTATAAACTCATTAGATTGTACTACCATTACAATCATGTTGATAATTTAGAGGCCGAAGAAATTTGTTTGATACAGTAGGATTTATGGAATTAAATAAAGTTCAAACTGATTTCATCTCATACATGTTGTCTTTTTTTTAAAGGTCAGCACTTGATCACAGCTTTAGCTGAGACAATGTTTGGATACAAAACTACCTCTTGGTAAGAGCTTTAGTAGTATCTATTAAATGACTCTAAAATAAATTAGATTATCAAATGTTAAAGCATGCTGGTTATGAAATGATACAGGGAGTTGGGCCGTCAGCGGAGCAGCATAGAGCTGGACACAGCCTCGGTGAAGCCCGGAGAAATGGAAGCTTTGGAGGCTGCTGTGAATGAGAAAATCCGTGCACACATTCCAGTCACTGTCAACCTTCTGTCCATTGATGATCCAGCTGTGGAGAAGGCATGTGTGCATCTTCACAAATCTACTTTTAGTCTTTATTAGAAATCTCAAATACTACATTTACCTAAGTAGGTATGTAAGAATACAAGCCAAATCTAATCAGGCTTTGAAACGGCAGATATCTTCTGATTCTAACCCTAATTGATGGAGTGTTACTTTTCATTTCTTAAACAACACATCATGGCCATATTTCAGGATGACAATGTCAGGATGACATTCATCAGGCTCAAACTGTGAAAGAATGATTGTGAGAGAGCATCAAGGATAATTTTCACACATGAATCGGCTCCTCTGAGTCCAGATCTTAAACTCACTGAAAGTCTTTGGGATGTGCTGGAGGAGACTTTACAGAGTGCTGGACTCTTGCATTGCCAATACAAGATCTTGACCAAACATTGATGTCCCCTTGATAGAAATAAATGTTGTGATGTTATTTCCATTGAGAGGTGCATCAATTTTTATGGCCATGGTGTGTCTTCCTACATGGTTGTTAAAGAAATGAAAAGCTACACACTCCATCAATTAGGGTTATAAAAACTGTTGCCAAACATATAACATGGAAGAAACATAATAATCACTGCAATAATGATCCAATCATTGACTCTTAAAGGGATACTCCACGCAAAAATAAAAAAATTCAGTCATCATACTCACCCTCAAGTTGTTGCAAACCTGTATGAGTTTCTGTCTTCTGCTGAACACAAAGGAAGATATTTTGAAGAACGATTGGAACCAAACAGTTGTGGGGCACCATTGACTTCCATAGTAGAAAGAAAAAATACTATCGAAGTCAATGGTGCCAAAGTTCCAATCGTTCTTCAAAATATCTTCCTTTGTGTTCAGCAGAAGAAAGAAACTCATACAGGTTTGCAACAACTTGAGGGTGAGTAAATGATGACAGAATTTTCATTTTTGGGTGGAGTATCCCTTTAAGCATGTGCCTGTTTAAATCCAAAAAGTGACTTCTTTTTTTTGGCCAGGCAGTGTATTATCTGTCATATTCAAAACTTAAAACTATAATATGCATCTTTCAAACTATATCTTTCGAAAGTTTGGGTTTTATATTTTTTAAATAAGTCTCTCATGCTCACACGGCTCCTTTTATTTGATAAAAATAATAATAATAATAATAATACAATATGCTGATTTGGTGCTCAAGATGCATTGCTTATTATCAATGTTGAAAACAGTTGTGCTGCTTAATAGTTTAGTGAAAACCATGATACATTTTTTTCACGATTCTTTGATGAATAGAAAGTTTTAAAAAAAAACTGCAGTTATTTGAAATAGAAACCTTCCATAACAATATAAATGTCTTTACTGTCACATTTGATTAACTTTTTTTTAACAGGTAAGAAGCCGTGGTCTTCCGGACGACCATGCTGGGCCCATCAGGATCATTGACATCGAGGGCGTAGACGCCAACATGTGCTGTGGGACTCATGTGTCCAACCTCAGTCACCTACAGGTCAGTCCTTCTGTCCTTGTCAAGCACAATTTAGGTCATCTGATCTCCCAACTTAACCTGTCAGCCATAGTCTTCAGAATATTATTCAGTGATGTTCTGCTGTTTAATCACTCAAAAATTGTGTTTACATGCTCATTAGATTATAAAGATTTTGGGGACCGAAAAAGGGAAGAAGAACAAAACCAACCTGATTTTCATAACGGGCAACAGAGTGCTAAAGTATGCTGAGAAGAGTTACAACATTGAAAAATCTCTGACCGCCCTCCTCAAGTGAGTTATTCTCCTTTGAATCAGGTGACCTGTCTGCTTCTCCTCGACAAACTTAACGTTTGTTCGTGTGTCTATTAGGACAGGGGCTGATGAGCATGTTGATGCCGTGGACAAGCTGCAAAAGACGGTCAAACGTCTTCAGAAGGTAAGCTACTGTTGAACAAGTTAACAATGATTAATTTTTCACTTTAACAATTATTAATCATTACCCTGTGTGCTCCTGTGACAGAGTAATCTTACTATCCTGAGGGATATGGCGGTTCTGATAGCGCAGAACTTCAAAAACAAAACGGACAGAGGAAACTTCTTCAGCTTACACAAGTGCGTGCTTAACTTCTTTTAAAGTCTTATATCTGAGTGAAACAGCTTCTCGAACAAGATCAAATGTAGGGCGGGGCTTGATTTAGTCCATCGGATATGGATTGGATCAATGGATGGTTGTGATTTGCTATTGGACGATTGTCTTCCTAGTCCCTGCTAGGAAGTTATTTTGATTAAAGATTACAAGGATAAATGAATTTGAAAAATATTATGTCCAAAAATGAATTATTTATCAATTTCTGGGTACGTTTACACGACAACGATGTACTAAAAACGGAAACGTATTTTTTTGTTTTTCACGTACAGATGACAACTTTGTCAAAACAATAACCTGTTCACATGGATCCATGAAAAAAACTAAAAATGCTGTATTCTGCTGCCAGGCCAGTAGTTGGCGATGTCACTTTGTAAAGAAACACTGTACATATAAACTGAACACATAATGCGCATGACGTCATCGCTTTCACAAATTCACATTTGTGTAGTTTACATGGAGACCATAATGGTATCGTTTTCAAAAACTTGGGTTTTCAGGCTGTTGTCATGCAAATGATTGGCCAAAACGCATTAAAAAAAATTCTGTTTTAAGTTGAAACCCGTGTTTTGTAAACGGCCCCTTAATTTCATTGTGACTTTAAAGGTTTATGAGGGAATAAAATCAGCAAGAAATGCCGTTCTCAACCCATTCTACTTCCATAGCCTGATGTAATTCCAGAAAAAACAAGATATTCAACATGAAAATATTAGGGCATCATTGAAAAGTTCAGTCCATTTATCAACTTTTCTGCCTGTTGGTGATATTTTCACAGCAAAGATGGTGATAATGAGTTCATGAACATCATCGCAAATGAAATTGGATTTCAGGTGAACCACATCTTTTATCCCTGGAATAGAATATATGTGCACTGCAGTGTTATTCACAGATGCCCATTCTGGAGATTGACACGTAGTTTTTGCACTCTCATTGCTGTGCTTGTGTAGGACACAGTGATTTTCCTGACCGTGGGTGAGGAGAAGGGTGCAGGACTGTTCCTGCTCGCAGGGCCTGAGAATATCATCACTGAAGTGGGACCTCGGTAAGTCCAATACTCATTTAAGTCTTTTCGTACTGGCAATTTTTTTTTTTTACCCTGTTAAAGGGATTGTTCACCCAAAAATGGAAATTCACCCACATGTCGTTCCAAACCCATAAGACTTTCGTTCATCTTCGGACCACAAACGAAGATCTTTTTGATGAAATCTGAGAGATTTCTGTCCCTCCATTGACAGCTATGCAACTACCACTAACGCTTCAAAAAGTTCATAAAGAGATCGTAAAACTAATCCATATGAATTTAGCGATTAAGTCCAAATTTTCTGAAGAGACTTGATCACTTTATATGATGAACAGATTGAATTTCGGCTTTTATTCACATATACAAACATGTTCGCTTGACGTGCGAGAACTAATGAGGTTCATTCTCTGTTACGCAGCACGTTTGAGCTTTAGCAAGAACCAATGAGATTTGTTCTCGAGCGTCAAGCAGGTTCGGTTGAGCTTCTGTTTATGTTCGCTGATCAACAGAGGGACAGAAAGCTCTCAGAATTCATCAAAAAGATCTTAATTTGTGTTCCAAAGATGAACGAAAGTCTTACGGGTTTGAAACTACATGAGGGTGAGTAATTAATGACAGAATTAAAAAAATTTGGCATATGAAATAATAGTCTATTTTTTTCTAAAATGGAACAATTAATTGAACCTTTAGACAAAAAAAAGTTTTGCTACTGTGTTTTTGTTGAGCATCATATTTGATGCATCAGGCTTAATATACTATGATATAGTGAGAATATGGAGCTTACACACGAGGAGGAAAAAAATATGAATTTTATGCAGTTGCTGATATTTACAGTTTATGGCAAAAACGTAAGAGTATATAACAGTATAACAGAAAACTTGAATAAAATGCATATAAATATCAGTCGTCACTTTATATCTGCCAGTAATATGTTAAGATGATATTAAAATGCTTAGTTTTATGACCAAAGCCATTTAGTTTTTATTGTGAAAGCAAAACATATAATGCAATGCAATACAAAGATAATTGCGAGATGAACAAATAAATGTTCCTCAAAAGTCTGAATCATATTTGATGCATACATTTTAGCATGACTAAAAAAAAAATGATGTATGGATAGTCAAGTAAGTTGCTTCAGTCCAGTAAGTGTTCATCTTGAAATATTACTAACAATTTAAAAATGATTCTTATGTTTACTTCATAAATCAGTAAAGAGTTCACAGCAAAAAACATGCGTACCACGATTATTCTAAAAGGCCGTTTACTTGTTAAAAAAGTTTAAACTTTCAGTCAGACAACGGAAGGCATGTAGTCGATTGTGTAAAACAGGGTTTTCAGCAAAATTTTGATCATGTTAATAATTTAGAGGCTTTAGAAAAAGTGGCAACTTAATCTGGCCAAGGACCGCCCACTTGTGACTACCATTATCTTAAATACTTGATGCCACAGTAATCAAAAATAATTCAAATTACAGTCACTGTAAGCAGTTGTGCTTGAAACATGCACCACATTTACAGACAAAACTCAGGGGAGAACAATTTACAATTCTTCCGTCTTATTTACTGTCTACAGCTTTTGTTGCTTCTGCTAATATCCCTTAGCTTTAGAAGTATTTACACTGCCTGTCAAGGGAAGGATTCTGTAATAAATCAAATTGAATTGTTGCATGCAGAATTATGTTGTGTGGTGATGCTTCCAGTAGGTGGCACTCTTCTGAATGAAATGCTCCCCTGTTGGTGTCATGATGTGTAGAGTGTCAGAGCTGCTGCAGGGTAAAGGAGCTGGAAAGGCTGGACGTTACCAGGGTAAAGCCAACAGTCTGGTGAAGAGGGCAGAGGCTGAGTCCTTATTGCGGGAGCATAGCTGCAAACTCACCGCAGGAGAGGAGTAAAACAACCGCAGACACATGCTGACATACAGGTGCGTTGATGATGATCCAGACTCTGTCTACACTGAACACATGCATGATACATGTGCATCAAGCGCATCAAAACTAGATAGTGCCGTGAGTTGCAAGGAAACTCTACATGAAAGCCCACAATGTGTCGCAAAGCTTCATTTTACACCTTTAGTTGATAGATGCTCCATTTCTACTTGTGATGCACTACATAAGTGTCACAGTCCCGTTCAGTTTGTTTTAGGTTCTTGGACTTTCTGTTTCGTTTACATTCATCATGTGTGTTTCTGATTCTAGATTCCCACCACGCATCAGTCACCATGGACACCAATCATCACAGCTGTTCATCATTGACTCATCATCACTGTGTATTTAAGTTCCTCATTGTGCTCACTTCAGTGTCCGGTATTGTTCGTTACATGGATGTTGGCTGTATGTTAAATAAACCTTGTGATGTATACTCATCATCTTCATCACTTTCTACAGTAAGTACTCCAGCCAATTAATTTTTCCTGTCCATCCAAATAATTTATAAATATTAATTGTTTCTTTCTCCCACTTTTTGTTGGTTCATGTTGTTGTTGTTTTTTTTGTCTCAGGCCTTCAAATTTAAATAATTTTATTAGAAATAATGATCTTATACATAAAAGCCACTATGTATAATCCATTATATTTTTTCATAAATAATTGTAACCAAAGTTATAATGCATTACAATATTTGCAGATTCCTTGTTACATGTGAAACTGGTTGTTTGTCATGTGTTTTAATGCATTATACTTTCTGAAGGCGTAACATAATTATTAATGTATTATTATAACTCTGGTTACAATTATTCATGAGATCATACAATGCATTAAAATGTGCATTATATACAAAGCATAATTAATGCATTAAAATACTTTTATAATGCATTATATATATATATATATATATATATATATATATATATATATATATATATATATATATATAAAGGCTTTAAGTAAAGTGTCACCGAAATCATTTTAATTTTTATACTAATTGATTTTTGAAACGAAATGATACTGTTAAGCTTACAGCTGATTGAGAGAGAGTGTAAATTGGAGTCCTACTGTATCTATGAGGGTTTTTTTTTCTGCTTTGTTCATTTGAAGTAATGCACACTCTTCAGAAATTACCATATTGCTCATGATTTGTTGATTTGTCAGCTGTTGAACTGGTTCTTAATAAAGACTGACAGAAAATACTGAATTAATGTATCACATTTTATTTTGGGAAGGATATGAATAAGATATTGGGACAGCAGCTCTAATCTAAATACACTGCGTTAAATCATTGGGCTGCATTAAATTATGTGCTATTCTCCAAGTCTTCAGAAGATGATATGATGACAGAATGTTTATTTGTGTGTGAATTATCCCTTTAAAGTCACAAAATAGGGCTGTGAAATCAATGTGTACATTTAGGCCCTTACACCTGGTATTAAGATGCATTACGCTAAATATGGGTGTAAATTGGGGTCTAAAATGTTTTGAGCTTGTCCACTTTCAACCACCTTCGAGCAGATTGCTTTCGTAGTGTGAATGCTCATGTGGCCGAAATGCATTCCATCAGCCACAAAAGACCGCCTACTTAACCGTAAACATTATGGAAAGCCAGACGGGATTTAAACTTTGCTGGCTGAAGACCCAAGTTTGGTTTGAAGATGAACAACATACCAAGCACAATGTTCTCTCACCATTCCTGATTTCTAACACACACTCACAGCGTTCGGCTGGTCTTGCGACTGTCAGAGCGGAAATAAAAGCTGATGCTTTTTGTTTTTCCGTCGTCTCTGGGCGCGTTCATTTGTAAATTGCTCAAGCTTATTTTGTCCATTAGATTGAAAGATCTGAAAAAAACCCATACAACCCACCCTCCCCTGGAAGAAATCAGGACAGAAGTGGTTGAAAGTGGACTAAAGAGACGGATTGTGTATACGGGAATGTGTCTCCCTCGTCTACTTCTGATCCGATTGACAAAAACGCATCTTAATACCAGGTTTAAACATGGCCATAGTACCAAACAGTCATTTCAGTCTTAGGGATTCCTTGTAGTTTTGGTTGAAGACTGAAAATGTTCAATACTTTAGGTTGCTAAACACATGATTCACTCATATACTGTACCACAAAACTTGTAATAATCTTCAAATGCATATAGTTTTTGAGGTAATGGCTCTACAGTGCATATCAAATGAAGAGCATGCTTGACTCGCTCCTTGTTTTCTTGAAGATGATTTGGTTCATCGGATGGGTAGTTGATGTTAAATGTTTTTGTGTACTTAATATTGCATCTAAAACTCTTTTAACCTGTATTTTAAGTATTATGCAGCATGCTATTTTAATGACCTCATTAATGACTACATGAATTTGGCTTACTGAATTGCACACTTTGCCATACACATTATAGATTTCTTTATCAAATGTAACCTAAAAAATGCAAGTGAAAAGAAAATGTTTTCAGAGTTTTATTTAAAAAAAAGACCTAAAGAATTTCCAAAAAAATAGAATATTACAGAAAATACATTCAAAAAAGTACACATCTTAGATAGGACAAAATTTGTCATCCTATATATACTGTAGTATATTTTATTATATCAGTTCTCAAAAAAGAACTTACTTCTTTGTCAAATACCAGACCTTTTCATCTAGATCCAAAAGCACTAAGGGGGCGTTTACACGACAACCATGTACTAAAAACTGTTTTCCTTTGTGTTTTTTCACAATGATCCCCGTTCACATGGATCCGCGAAAATGATTGAAAACGCTGTATCATGCTGCCGATGTCACTTTTTTAAAGAAACACTACGCGTCTATAGACCGAATGCATGCGAATGACATCACCGTTTTCACACATTCGTGTTTTTGTAGTTTACTTGGAGGCGATAACAGTATCGTTTTTTTAGACCCCAGAATGCGTTGTCGTGTAAATGAACGGCCAAAACGCATAAAAAGTTGTCCATTTTTAGTTGAAAATGGTGTCTTGTAAACGCCCCCTGAGATATATTTATATTTTCTAAAATTCACAATTCTTACACAACACATTATCATAAACAGTACATACAATATAGCAGTGTTTAACTTAAACTAGTTATCTGCATCCCTTAGTTAGAAAACACATTTAAACAGGCGAGTTGTTCATCAGTTAGTGTTTCTTCGACTGATGGGATGAACTGGAAAATGTGCTATAGTCTGAAATACTGTAAATAGTTGCGCCGTTGCTTACAGTCTTGTACAGTTCTTTCCCAGCTTAAAGCTGTTTCTTGCTTTGTAAACCGAGGGCTCCGGACACGCAGTACGGGATGATACTGACCGTGGCCAGGGGAACAGTGGCGCTCTTGCAGAAAGACAGCAGGTAGAAGAGAGCAGCCGTGTGTGTGGGAGGCTTGATGGAATCGAAGAGATGGAGAAGAAACAGAGAGGAGACGATACAGGAGATCCTGACGCGAGCGCTGCTGCTCTTCTTGCTTTCCGTGTACAGTGGGGAGTGAAGGCCGAGTCCCAGCCCGAACAGGGTGCCCATGTTCCTCAACAGGCTGGCGAACGGTGTGCTGTCCAAATGAACCCAGGCTGGATTGACGCACCACTTCTGGGCTTTCTCAAGGGTCCAGAGCAGATCCACACCCAGAGCTTTCAGGAGCACGTACAAGCCCACCGCAAACGAGAGCAGGAACAGCGTGACGTTGAAGTAATTCTTTAGACTGGCACTATAGATCCATTTCTGTCTGTTGAAAGCCTCCGCAACAATCATGCCTGTAAAGAACACAAATAAATGCGTTAAGACTATTACCCATTTCTTTTGTGCTCCAGTGGCTCAACAACGGGTATTTAACTTGTCAAAACGTTTGGAATAATTACAATGTTTTAATGTTAAAAGAAGGCTCAGTAATGCTGAATTCTTTTGTTTAAAAATACAAACAGTTATATCATGAAAAATGATTACAATTTAGAAGAACTGTGTTCTATTTGAATCTATTTTAAAGTAATTTATTTCTGTGATCAAAGCTGAATTTTCAGCATCATTACTACAGTCTTCGTCACATGATCCTTCAGAAATGATTCTGATATGCCGATTTGCTGCTCAATATCGACATTTATTGGTGCTCAGTTATTATTAATAATAGTTCTTTTGAAGAACGTTTTTGCTACTTATTTTGTGAAAACCATGAGACATTTTTCCAGGATTCTTTGATGAATGGAAAGCTTACATTTAAAAATAGAAATCTTTTGTAACAAATGCCTTTACTGTCACTTTTCATCAATTTAATGTGTTCTTGCTGAATAAACGTATTAATGTCTTTTCTTTAATCTTTCTTCCAAACTTTTGAATGGTAGTGTATCACAGGCTCCACAAAAATATTAAGCAACAAAAATTGTTTTTAACGTTGATAATAATTAGAATTTTTTTCACTAAATCAGAATGATTTCTGAAGGATCATGTGACACTGAGTAATGATGCTGAAAATTCAGCTTTGCATCACAGGAATAAATTAAAATTTTAAATATCTTCAAATAGAAAACAGTCATTTTAAATTGTAATAATATTTCACAATATTCCAGTTTTTACTGCATTTTTTATCAAATAAATGCAGCTTTGCGGAGTATAAGAGACTTCTTTCAAAAACATTAAATCGTTTTTATTCCAAACTAGAAATGCCAAGGTGGGTTCAATTCACAGGAAAAGTGCAATCTGAAGCACTCAGATCAAAAAACAAAACACAGATGCATTTTTAAGTCGACAATTTTAAAGCAACACCAAGTAACCTTTCCTCTGCGGTCACCCTACAGGTTGGAAGCGGAATTGTCCATTACTGCTGTCATAAATAATTTAGCCTACCGCATCCTACTGTCCCACGCACACGCTCTGTTTATCCAGCACCGGCTTTGGAATCATGATGACAATTCAAAAGCTACCTGGCTGCTAGGTATCTTACATGTAGTTGTAGTCTACTGTCGAGTACGCTCCACCTATCGGCAATTGTAACGCTTGCCGTAAAGCAAGTCAAATTTGTAGTTTTCTTATGTCTCATTTGGACTACAGAAATGCGACCCGAATCTTACATAGCGTGGATATATCAGATAAAGGACCGCAAAGCGGTGGCATAAGTGCATTTCACCATGTCACGACTTTATTAAAACATTGTTTTAAGGTAAAAAATCGTACTTAGTGTTGCTTTAAGTTTCATCTATTGATGATGGTTTTGTGAGATTCCTACCTGAAATAACGCCTGCGAAAACCTGATGGGGGAAATGAGCTGCGATGAAGACTCGAGAGAGACATACACAGACCTGGACCGCCCAGAAGAGTGTCCAAAGGGAACCACGCAAGTATCTGAAAAAAAAAAAGAAAAAAATTGAATTGCATTTAAATGTACTGCAGAACCAACAATCTATTTGGAAACAAGCTTCTGATGATGCTAAAGATTGACTTACAGGCTCTTGGACGGGGATTTGTTCTCTTTGCTCAGCATTATGGCGAGGATGGACGTGACCAATGCATAGTAAACACCAGCAGCGCCCATAGCGTGACCAGATGGACTGCCTGCATCAAGAAGCAGATAAGTGATCAAAGTGGTCTTTTGATGTATGATGAAACAGGTTTTAGGAGGACAAGTGTGGTACTTCTAGAAGAGGAAGACGCACCTGGGCCAGTCTCACAGGTCATGGGATACTGTTCAATATGTGGCGCTGAGCTGTTGATGTAGTAGGAAGTCTCGTGGATCCACCAGTATGGACGTTCTCCAAACAGGATCCTTGAATAGATGAATCAACAGTCATTTTTTTTGTCAATTAATGTTTTAATTTGACTAATTTTTGGCTTTGCTTACCATTTGAATACCAAATTGAGCCAATCTCCTATCACAGCCACCCAAATGAGCTTGATGCCGACTGATTCTTTCAGATGGAACCAGATGGGAAAGAAGATGAAGAAGGTGTTCCTAAGATCTGCCGCAAAGGAGACGAAAAGAAACCATCCTTGGGCGTCTTTGTAATGGGTCTGCAGGTATTGGGTGCTACTCACCCCGAACCCGTGCACTGTATCCATCACAGCATTCATGTTGTAGAGCTACTCGAGAGTGACAGTCCTCCACCACCTGTCTGTGGTTTTTATACTAGCAGGCCCACCACCACAACGCATGGACAAACCGATCTTTGAACCTTGCACATGTGTAATAAAACACAGAGTGGAACAGAAGAAAAAAAACCGCTAGAGTTAAGAGCATGTTTGTCCTGTCAGAAGAGATAACGCACAAACAAGTTCAGGAGAAAAAGGACATAGAAAAGACGTAGCAGTGAATCATTGAACTCATCTGCGAACTCAAAAACACACACGGCCTCAGTCAACACCTGTAATTGGATTTTGTTTTATATATATCTGTTATGATTATTACAAGTCTTTGCACAATTTATAGAATAATAGGTTATGCGTGATTCTTACAATCAAGTAAAATAATATGTATTACACACACCGGCCACTTTATTAGGTACACCTATAGCTTGTAACAGGTACACTTTTGCCTTCAGAATTGCCTAATTTTTTCATGGCGCAGATTAAACCAGGTGCTGGAAACATTCCTCAGAGATTTTGGTCCATATTGGCATGATAGCATCACGAAGTTGCTGAAGATTTGTCGGCTGCACATCAATGATGTGGATCTCCTGTTCCACCGCATCCTAAAGCTAATCTATTAGACTGAGATCTGGTGACTATGGAGGCCATTGAGTATAGTGAAACCAGTTTGAGATGATTTGAGCTTTGTGACATTATCCTGCTAGAAGTAGCCATCAGAAGATGGTACACTGTAGACATAAATGGATGGACATGGTCAGCAACAATATTTTAAGCATTTAAAAATGCTTAATTGGTACTAAAGGGCCCAAAGTGTTCCAAGAAAATATCCCTCACACCATTACACCACCACCAGCAGCCTGAACCACTGACAAGGGATGATGAATACATGCTTTCATGTTGTTTACTCCAAATTCTGACCCTATATCAGACCTAGACTCATCAAACAGGCAATTGTAGCCTCAGTTTCCTCAGTGTGTTCTTCTGCTGCTGTAGTCCATCTGCTTTAAGGTTTCACGTGTTGTGCGTTCAGAGATGCTCTTCTGCACGGTTGTAATGAACCAGTCTGGTCATTCACCTCTGACCTCTGGCATCAACAAGACATTTTCGCCCACCGAACTGTCGCTCACTGGATATTTTCTCTTTTTCGGACCATGTGAACCCAGAGAGATGGGTGTACCTAATAAAGTGGCGGGAGAGTGTATATGTTACATTAAGAAAATTAAGCCTATTTTAGCACCAATAAGATTTGCATTACAATAATATTATTAGGCATATATATTTTTAAATGTAATTCAAAATTTAAAATTTTAAATGTACTTTTAAGTATTAAATTTAGTTTTCTATTTAAATCCACGTAAATTAAAGGCTGCTTTGCAAATACCACCTTAAAGTAAAAATACTTTACAATTGAAATAATTCCTTAATTTAAAGAAGTTTATTTTTTGTTTGTTTGTTTTTATGATTTTTTTATTTATTTTATTTAGTAGTCCATTTGACTTTCTTTTTTGCCAAAACAAACATGTGTTGCAATTAATCTATAGACCTACGTCAGGGCAAAATTTCCCACAAACAAGAAGGGGAATCCTGTTCAGAAGCTAATCTCAGAGCTGTGGGAACCTATCACTCTAAGACAGGCATTAATTTGGCTGCTTACATAAGCAGTTTCAGATTTGCATTGAATTGCTTGTTTACATGTGTGTTACATAAGTAAATCATTCATTAAGTTGATCTGTAATGCTTAAATGACAAGCTAAACTGCAATCAGGTTTTTTCTTGCTGATATTTGAGATGTTTGTTCGTCCTTGAATTATATTTTCCTTGATTAAATATATATACAGACCATCATCTTTACATCTAACAAAATAGAATGTAGAATAGAATAGAATGAATTTAAACTTACTTCGCAATTGTTAAAAAAACTAACATTTCTATATAGTATGAATATGGGTTGTGTGAATGAAATTCGGACGTACTACATCCACCATGTTGTTACTGTCAGGTGACCAGCGTCAGTTGCATCGCTTCATTTCCATTTACAAATCATTTCCAGTGGCCTCAGAGTAAAGCGTCCTTCCAATCTCGGCAGTAGTAGGTCATCCGGGTACTTTTTTCGCAAACTGTTTTTCGAATACTAGGGAAGTATTTTTAAATGCATGCCATACGTGTTTTATTAGAAATGACATTAAAGTATAAATGAATCTACCATAAATGCTTGTCAGTACATTCAGCAATACACTTTTCAAACACTATAACAAGTAATTATGAATTACATAAAGATGTTAAGTCCTACTTAAGTGGGTCAAAAAGCACTAATTGTATTTAATATAAATTTAAACTATTATACACTTTCATGTAATTGTAACTAACATGCAATTAAGCCTCCAAATACACTAAAGTATATTATTTTAAAGTACACTATTTACGTATTAAGTGCCCTTTCTTAAAAGTATGCTAAAGTGTGCTTCTTTTTCACAAGGGAAGAGCCCATAAACATCTGTTTGTAAGAACACAACACCATGAACTACAACAAAACAAAATGCCACAAGTCCGAACATGAATGGATCAATGAATTTGTCAAACAAGCCAGACAGATCCATTAAAGTACTGTCATTTGCATTAAATGCGTCACTGTAAGATGTCATCATAGTGACATCACACTCCATGAAACCAAAGACAAAACTAATCGGCCTGTCCACTCATCATTTTATCAGTGTTTGCCTCATCGGCGTCATGACAGGTCAAAGGTCATGAAATTGAGGGACCCTGAGTTGTCCAGCCAGCATGCAAACAAAACCAAAGCATCTAGCCTTGAATAAAGTCCAACTAGAACAGAAAACTGGGGTCCGAGTTTAGACGAGACCTGAATATCTGCAGTTTGATCCCCATCCCTGCACCTTGTGTCTATCCTCCCTCTCGAGCGCATTTGTCCGGGGTGACCGTCCCGATCTCAGGCTACAGAGATGGACCTGCTTCACAGCTGGGGGGTGAACCTAGCTGTCCGTTTGCAGACAGAATACCGGGACTATGAGAATCTGTTTCAGTGGGTGTCCTCGGTGGCGGATCTCCACACCACATTCTTTGTGTTTTTCCCCATTTGGTTTCATCTGCGCAGAGACGTGGGTGTTAAACTCATCTGGGTGGCCGTGGTTGGAGACTGGCTAAACCTCGTCCTGAAGTGGTGAGAGGCTTTTTGGTTTGCGTATTCTTAATTTAAAAGCTTATTAAGGGGGAAGAATATCACTGAACTCAAAAATATAATGTGACAAGATTACGCTGGCACATAATAAATTGGTGCATTATCAAAAATATTGACCCACTTTACATTAAATGTCTTTAACTGCTATGTACTGACATTTAAATTAATGAAAGAATGCACTTATTAATTGTGTACATACTGTACGTCTTTGCATTGTAGTTATATTTAAATAAAATATTAATTAATCTGTAATTAGACTGTTAAACCTACAAAACCTGTCCTTAACCTTACCCATATTACACTTAATATAAAGTTGGACCAAAAATATAATTATTTCTATTATTATTAAACATGCATTATTTCAGTTATTATGTATTAAATAAATATTATTTATATTAAATTGTGTTCTATGTTTTCTTTGTGCTCTCCCTCCCATGATTTTTTATATATACATATGAATGTTTGATATATTCATAGGGTGCTTTTCGGTGAGAGGCCGTACTGGTGGGTGAATGAGACTAAGTTTTATGGCCCTATAAAACATCCTGAACTGCAACAATTCCCCATCACTTGTGAAACTGGACCAGGTATATTACAATATTACGCAGCTATCTGAAATACTTGATTTTGTTTGGTCAATCACAGCTTTCTCCGGTCAAATAGTTTTGTATAATGACTTGACCATAATCTCTGGTTTTTCTCTACAAGTCTCTTTCTTCTCACTCTATGAAATGTATTTAAATTCAAATAATTGTTTCATTTCTGTTTATTCATTTATTTTGGTAAGTTGACATTTAATAAGCAAAATAATATACAATAAATCGGTCAGTTTAGCTAAATAAAAGCTTCCCAATCTGGGTTTATATTTGCAATAATAAATGGCTGACTGTACATTATATCCCCTTCTTATTACTTTATAATTATGTATGAAATACATAAATCTGCTACTCTGTAGACCAGTAGTTATGCAATTTAACTAATCTATTCTGCTGATGTAATCTATCATGTGGAAATGGATCTGGCACCTGGTTATCATCCTGCTTCAGTTCAAGGGCCGTCTTTGAGTGAAGTCACACATATTACTTAGTAATATTACACATATTACTGCCAAGTATCCATTCATTCTTGACCTGAATTAGTACTCTGGACCAATTAACATGGCTCATAAATAACCTGCATGAACTGATATTTTATCTAAATTATCTAAATGGCTGCTGGTATTTTGCCTAAGCTGGTTCACAGGTCTGAAAACTAACCAATAAACCAGCCGAGACCAGCAAACCAGTTTAGGCTGGGAAGTTCCTGAACAGATGTATCTCTGATCAAACATGTCTGTTTAACCATTGCCCTGTGTTCACCAGTGTGGGGGGTAACGCATTACAATGTGAGTTGTGTATTCGGATTACTTTTTCAAGTAACGAGTTAAGAAACGCGTTACATTTAAATTTGCAACAAAATATCTCAGTTATTTTATTTTTCAAATAAGTAATGCAAGTTGCTAGTTTTTCCATTTATTGACTGACTGCTCCCCTACTGTAAAAAATTATATGATCAATAAGTTATGACAACATATGTTTTTACATTGCTTTAACTTACCAAAATAAATCAACTTTTTTTTATGTTATACAAGATTCAACTGATGTTTTATAGTCCGTTTAATGTAATTTAAGTTGAAATGACTTAAACATCCAAGTTGATTGTACTTAAAAATTGAAGGCAGCTACTTTTTTTACAGTATGTCCGTATGTACAGTATATACAGTATGTACAGTAGATTGTTAAAGACAAACAGTCAGAAATAAAATAAGGATAAATAAACAAATTACAATAGTCTTCACTGTATAAATGAAATATAGATTAATCCTTATTAAAGTTACAAAAGTTATTCAATCGACCAGTGACTGTTTTAAGTTAATCAAACAAAGGACAAAGAAAAAAAAGCAAAGACATCTGCAGGTATATTAGGCTGCTGTCACTTTAAGAGCTGCAAAATACTTTTACACACAAGTTTTATTTGTCAACTTTTTATGTTCACATAAGATATTAGTTGAGGAGATTCCCCCTCCCATGTAAAGCGCTTTGAGTGCCGAGAAAAGCGCTATATAAATGTAATGAATTATTATTATTATTATTATTATATTACATATCCAAACTGTTTACTCGCTGAGACCAGCATTTTTTGATGTAATTTTGTGTGAATATATGCGCAAGAAGACGTGAATTAGACATGAATTCAAGCGCAAGAAGACGTGAAAAAGAGCTCAATTCAGCATTCAATCGCACACTGTCTGAGAAGCCGCACACCAAACTTCTCACACTTTTGCATTGAGTTTTCTTTTGCGTCTTCCTGCGCTTCAATATTTAAATTGGCAAGGCTTAAAACATGTGCAAATGGTAAACTTTCGTGATGCAGCACTGGCCTGATCGGGCAAGTGACAGTTGTGTCAACTGTCCCGAACGACGTTTACGCTGGCCCCAGGCCCTCGGCCAGTCCTTACCTTCCCGAACGACGTTTACGCTGGCCCCAGGCCCTCGGCCAGTCCTTACTGTCCCGAACGACGTTTACGCTGGCCCCAGGCCCTCGGCCAGTCCTTACTGTCCCGAACGACGTTTACGCTGGCCCCAGGCCCTCGGCCAGTCCTTACTGTCCCGAACGACGTTTACGCTGGCCCCAGGCCCTCGGCCAGTCCTTACCTTCCCGAACGACGTTTACGCTGGCCCCAGGCCCTCGGCCAGTCCTTACTGTCCCGAACGACGTTTACGCTGGCCCCAGGCCCTCGGCCAGTCCTTACTGTCCCGAACGACGTTTACGCTGGCCCCAGGCCCTCGGCCAGTCCTTACTGTCCCGAACGACGTTTATGCTGGCCCCAGGCCCTCGGCCAGTCCTTATTGTCGAGCCCTGATGATGGTTATATGGTATTGTATCCCATTCAACCATACTTACAAGCAAAAATGACTTAAGATAAGCATCACATTTGTGTTTCATTTTTTAGTTTTTATTGCTCACTTTTGGTGTGTGAAGGGCCTTTACATTTGTCAAAAATAGAACTTTTTTGGAATTAAAAACAAAAACGCAAGCCCAGCCCAGATGAGGAAAAAGTAACACAAAAGTAACGTAATGCATTACTTTCCATAAAAAGTAACTAAGTGACTCAATTAGTTACTTTTCTTAAGAGAGCAGCCAGAAAAATGGAACGCAACTGGAAGAAAACTAAACTAGAGGTATTTCGGATTTCATGGAAAGAGAGCTTGATTGCTTACAGAGAGGCCTTAAAAGCTGCTAGATCTGCTTATTTTTCAACCCTATTAGAAGAAAATAAACATAATCATAGGTATTTATTTGAAACAGTAGCTAAACTAACGAAAAAGAAAGCTTCAAGCTCAGAAGTGTCCAAGCAACACAGCAGTAATGACTTTATGAACTTCTTCACTTTTAAGATCGATAATATCAGGGACAAAATTATAACTATGCAACCGTCTACCACAGTATCGCATCAGACAGTGCATTGTAGTCTCCATGAGGAAAAATTTGATTCATTTGTTGCCATAGGAGAGGACGAATTTTCTCAACTTGTTAAATCATCTAAATCGACAACATGTATGTTAGACCCTATACCGACTAAGCTATTGAAAGAGATGCTTCCAGATGTCATAGATCCTCTTCTCAATATGATTAATTCATCTTTGTCACTAGGATACGTACCAAAAACCTTTAAGCTGGCTATGATAAAACCGCTTGTTAAAAAACCGCAACTTGATCATACAAAATTAGTCAATTACAGGCCGATCTCGAATCTGCCTTTTCTATCAAAGATATTAGAAAAAGCAGTATCCTCACAACTGTGTTCCTTTCTAGAAAGAAATGATCTCTGCGAGGATTTTCAGTCAGGATTCAGACCGTACCATAGTACCGAGACAGCTCTCATCAGAGTCACAAATGATTTGCTCTTATCATCCGATCGTGCTTGTATCTCTCTATTAGTGTTACTTGATCTTAGTGCTGCATTTGATACTATTGACCACAACATTCTTTTAAATAGACTCGAAAATTATGTTGGCATTAGTGGAGTTGCACTAGCATGGTTTAAATCATACTTATCTGGCCGTTATCAGTTTGTAGCAATAAATGAAGATATGTCTTTTCGATCACAAGTTCAGTATGGCGTACCACAAGGCTCAGTACTAGGACCGTTGCTGTTCACTCTGTACATGCTACCCTTAGGAGATATCATTAGGGAACATGGAATTAGCTTAAACTGTTATGCTGATGATACTCAGCTCTATATTTCTTCACGCCCCGACGAAACTTACCAATTCACAAAATTAACGGAATGCATAGCCGATATAAAAAATTGGATGACTAGTAATTTCCTACTACTAAATTCTGAAAAAACAGAGATTCTAATTATTGGACAAAAAACTTCCACACATAATAACCTAGAATACTGTCTAACACTTGATGGCTGCTCTGTTAAGTCTTCGTCGTCGGTCAGGAACCTGGGTGTGCTCTTTGATACCAATCTCTCATTTGAAAGTCACGTGTCTAGTATCTGTAAAACCGCATTTTTCCATCTTAAAAACATATCTAAATTACGCCATATGCTCTCATTAACAAATGCAGAACAATTAGTTCATGCGTTCATGACATCAAGGCTAGATTATTGTAATGCTCTACTGGGTGGTTGCCCTGCACGCTTAATAAATAAACTACAGCTAGTTCAAAACGCAGCAGCTCGAGTTCTTACCAGAACCAGGAAATATGACCATATTAGCCTGGTTCAGTCAACACTGCATTGGCTGCCTATTAAACATCGTATAAATTTTAAAATATTGTTGATTACTTACAAAGCACTAAATGGTTTAGCTCCGCAGTACCTGAGTGAGCTTTTAACGCATTATAGTCCTTCACGTCTATTGCGATCTCAAAATTCCGGCCAGCTGATAATACCTAGAATATCTAAATCGTCTGCTGGCGGGAGATCCTTTTCCTATTTAGCACCAAAACTTTGGAACAGTCTTCCTACCATTGTCCGGGAAGCAGAAACACTCTGTCAGTTCAAAGCTAGACTAAAAACACATCTCTTTGACCTAGCATACACATAATACATTATAGACTTCGATAATTCAATGTTAGGCTGCATAGATTAGGTCAGCCGGAACTGGGAACACTTCCCTTAAATCCAGATGTACTCGTTACATCATAAGAAGAATGGCATCTACGCTAACTCTAGTGTCTTTGTTTATCCCGAGGTTTTCCTGCAGCCTGCCGGATCCAGGGCGTATCCAGATCTGACGAAGGAGATTCGCCTGGACCCGATGACAATGCAGTGCTGCGGTGTCAACTATCCTCTCCCTATGGAGGATCCCTTTCCCACTCTACAGATAAAGCGTTGTTGAAAATCCGGTTCGCGTACCCCAAAGTGATAAAATAAAATTCTGTATCAAATTTATAGGCAAGACAAGTAGTTTGTTTAGGCATGGTTTGTAGGGAAATTACAAACCTGCGCACACATATTCAAATGAATATAACTATAGAATCAATTTTTAATGCGCATGTGAACGTCATCAGGTCACAGGTTCGCGTTTAAAGTCTGTTGAGAGAACGCCGTCGTCTTAGTGGCCCCTAATTTAATAACAAATGATAATTTTGCTGGAAGTGAATCAATCAAAACCAACTTTAGCCGAAATAACATTATTCAAAATCGCTATAAAGCCAAAACAATCTCTGTTACCGTAAATTGTATGTTTATCTCTGTAAAGCTGCTTTGAAACAATCTCCATTGTTAAAAGCGCTATATAAATGAAGATGACTTGACTTGACTTGACTTGACTTGACTTGACTTAAGGCATTAACGCAATATTCTAATCCTACTTTTCCACAAGACTGGTGTTCACCGCTGCGCTTGTTTGGTTCTCTTTGTCAGGGAGCCCGTCGGGTCATGCCATGGGTTCTGCAGGAGTTGGGTATGTAATGGTTACAGCGGTGCTTTCCATTGTTGCTGAAAGAAAAATGCCTCCTTTAAGTTATAGGTGAGTCTGAGACATGAAAATAGGTCTGTGCCTGATCATCTCAAGAAAATAACTGTTTTAAGGGCTTAATGTTTAAATATACAGTAATGTCTGCTTTTAGATTTTTACAGTTGATGCTCTGGATGCTTCTGGGTTTGGTGGAGTTACTGGTGTGCATGTCTAGAGTCTATCTGGCAGCCCATTTCCCACACCAAGTTATCAGTGGAGTTATTTCAGGTAGGTGTCTTCTTTTTTCGTAAGTGGGCCAATGACATAGAGTTTCCATTATGGAAAAAGGACATTAATTTTTTTTTTATAGTTCTTTAAAATGTGCTATTTGCATTTATGTTGGTTCAGAATATATAAAAAGTAATGACTACAAAAAATGTTAATAATTATATATATATACAGTATATTTATATATTTGGGAGTTGCACCACATGACAATTCACAACCTGAACCAGTGTTATTTTATTATTGATATAATACTATTTTAGATATTTTACTACATGAAGTTAAATGAAATGAAAATGAGAAAGGTTGCTTTAGCAACTAGCTGAAATAAAATTTTAGTTTATGTTTATTTTTCATGTAACACATTTTTCATGTTTTAGTAGTTGTTGTTGTTTTTTTCGTTTTAGTTACGTATAATAACCCTTTCCGGAACTTTTCGTTTACGCTCGTTTCTGGTAATTATCTAATATATTGATAGGCTTATTGACCTTGACACACAGTTATTTGGAAGCTAAAAGTTTTCAAATAAATAAGCAGTGAAGCAGTTTTGTTTATTAATAATATGTTTATTAATAATACTAAATGATTATGGCAAACTACTAGGTTATTTCCATGAATTTCATCCTATTAATGAAGCTTTTTCTCCTTTATTATGATATTAGGGCAGTTGTACCACCCACCCCAAAAATGTCAAAATGATTTTCAATTGAGAAATTAAAAATATGCTCATCATACAAGAGGTGTCTTCAAGTCCTTGAAAATAAATAACATTTTAATGTGTTTCTGAATAAATTAGTAGATCCAGGGGGAAAAATATGAGCAAATACTTTACAGTTTACTTTACAGTGCATCAGCATTTGATGTTGCCTCCAGACACTATGACAGTTGTTGGTCTTTATTTCCAGGTATAATTGTAGCAGAAACATTCTCCAGAGTGCAGTGGATCTACAACGCAAGTCTGAGAAAGTACTTCAATGTGACGCTGTTCCTGCTCTTTTTTGCGGTGGGCTTATACGTGCTCCTGAAAGCTCTGGGTGTGGATCTGCTCTGGACATTGGCAAAGGCCCAGAAATGGTGTGTGAATCCAGACTGGGTCCTTATGGACTCCTCCCCCTTCGCCAGCCTGTTGAGGAACATGGGCACCCTGTTCGGGCTGGGGCTTGGTCTTCACTTGTCACGCTGCAATGAAACAAGAAGCAAGAAACACAGCAGCGCCTCTTTCAGGACCGGGTGTATTGGTGTATCTTTGGTGTTGCTGCAGCTCCTGGATAAGATGACATTTTCCTCAAGCAACCAGATACTTTTCTACCTTCTGTCATTCGGCAAGTGCGCTGTTGCTTTGGTGCTTCCCACTGCACTTGTTCCTGGAGCCATATCTTGGATTTCACATGAAAACAAGCATGAAAAGGACATGTAGTCCAATACTCAGGCAAAACTTTGGTGAATGATAAACCGAAAATAGAGTTTGACTGATGCAGATTTGCATTGCAACCGATTTTCAAGACAAATGCAATCGTTCAGCAAACGTTTTTGCAGTGCACCATTTAAAAAATACCTCAGATGGCATGTACAGGATGGGTGGATACTAATAGCAATTAATTGCATCCAACATTAAAGTTTGTGTTTATATAATATGTGTGTGTACATATACATATATATATTAGAGATGCACCGATATGGAATTTCTCAGCCGATACCGATAGCCGATTATTCAGAATGATATCATCCGATGCCGATGCCGATACCGAAAGTTTGTTTTTTTGTTATGGATAAAATATCTGTCCCAAATAATGCTCCAAACTATACAGAGAACCCTCTCATTTGATAACCATAATATTAGAGGTTCAAATTAACAACAGAGCTATTATATTCAACTGCTATTTATTTCCAGATATAATATTTACACTCAAATAAAAGCTTAAATGTTTGTATACAACTCCGTTACACATATAAGGTAGTTTTCATAAGCACTTGTCTTCATGGCAAATTTATTCAAACATATATATATCCGTTCCGTTCTGCATTATGAGACATTGAATTGTTGTCAGAGCAGAACTTTTCAAGATGTTCCTCCTCTCGAATCCTCTCGCATGATTATGATGAATTTATGTGGCTGTAATTATCACTTCGATCTTTCCAAGATTATTTGAGCATATTGTTGGCAAGTCTTCATATTATGGAGCCTCCGTGCATATCTTGTTATCTGTGAATGGTTTTAAAGGAGGCTGGCCCATTCACTAAGTAACTTTCATTCAGATCTAATGTTCAAAGGTCCCTCAGTCATGATCTGGACATACAGTACGGCTGTGTTCTGTACATTGTTCCTATGACTGCCGTTATAGGGATCATTCATCTCAAAGCGAGTTATTGCACCATTCAACTATACTTGGAATCCATGGTGAAAAAAAAAATGCTAAGTATACTTGCAGCCAGACTAATTCAGTATACTTCAAGTGTGTCAGTGATTAGTTAACTTAAAGTGTGCTATTTTGAAACAACTCATTTTGTACTAAGTATATTTTAGTTGTAATTAAATTGTAGTAAAGCATAACTTTAAGTGTATTTAGTACACTTTTGTGTAATAAATTGGAACAACTTCAAGTATACTTGCAGTCCGTAGCTTTTTTTTTGGTTAAAAATTATCCAAAATACATATTTGATAAAATACATAACCAGCCAGTGTTCAAAACTATCTGCTTGCCTTAGCTCGATTCAAAGCGGTAAGCTTGTAATAATGTTTTTAATTCCAGTGGTACTGGTGGATTTCCGCGGGAGATTCGAGCATGTCTTTGTGTCATTACGTCACATCTGCACACATAAAGAAGAGTCTCGGCTAGTATAAGCTATATTGCGTGTGAGGATGCTGGAGGTGGAGATTTATAGCCTTTTCTCACAGCACTTGATATAATTAAACTTATCAATTTGATGGCGGATCCAGAAAGGTTCAAACGACAATCATCATCAGTGACAACTAGAGACTCACCCGCTGTAACGTTAAAATGCAAAAGACTTCGTTCGGACTTCAGAGTGGCTACAGAAAAAGAGACTGCAACCGGACCCATGCGAAAACAAGGATAATATCGGAAGGACATTACATGTAGTCACGCAATGCTTGCTGACATTGTTAACATTAACAATTTGAGAACATAGCTACTTTGCACGGTTTTGCGTGATATGAGCAGTTGTCAGATTTAATCAGCGCGATTAACTGCAATGTCAGAACCAGAACAAAAGTGGATGTTTCTTACTAGTTCAGATGACATTTTCCGGTGAAAATTCTTATGTTGGTCATACTTCCAAAAATAATAATCTGTGATTCTGAATGACAATATCCACATCGGCGGTGACTGACACACTCACTCTCCTCAAACACTGTGTTCATCCGCGCTGTGCCGTGTCGAGGGTGTTGAAGTACAACTCACGTAAAGTTGATAATTCCGCGAATGACTGCAATTGCAGATTTCGAACAGAGATGGCGACAAAGAGAAAAAACGCCGGACTGCAGCTTTAAAGGAGCTGTATGTAAGATTGTAGCCAAAACTGGTACTGCAATCACTTTCAAATTACTGTAGAGCAGTGTATCCCCTCCCCCTCCTCCCTGACTCGAGGTTGCCAGATAGGCTGCAGGATCCAGCAGGAACATAGTCTACTCCAAGTAGTGGTAACTAGAGCAGAGCTGGCAACCCGGATCCCGCAACACTACTGACTTCTTGATTGGTAGATAGGTGGAGGGTGGAGCATCAGACCAAAACACAACATGACAACATCAACATCAGTTGAGGGCTGCAACTTCACTTTTTAAATGACAATATCATGGCCGGACTACTGTTGTCAGTGATATAAGTATTTGAAATTAACATGATTTCTTAATGTCTAGTGACATATCAGGGCCATTTTATGATTAATTGAAATACATTTCTTACATACAGCTCCTTTAAGTATACAGTATGCCTGTGTAGTAGGGACTAATTACATGCTTGATTAGTGATATAAAAATGTACTTTATTTGTGTTACAAATACATTACAAATTCATTATGAGTGTCTTTGAAACATACAAGCAATATACCATAAGTGTATTTATAGTTGGGGGGGGGGGGGGGGGGGGGGGGCGTTTTTACCTTTCATTAGGATGGGACAGTTGCTAGACAGGAAGTGAGGTGGGAGAGAGAGGGAGGGACGGGATCGGGAAAGGTCCACAAGGGACTCGAACTCGGCTCTCCCAAATCACAACAGCTACATGTTAGTACACTTGCCCACGCACGAGGCTATCGGAGCCGACCATAAGTCCATACAACTAATTGCACACTTTGTCTTCTTCTTAATGCACATTAATAGACAAATAATACTTAGCTATACTTTGTACAAAATACTATTGTAAACTATCATGTATTTTGAAAGTATACTTTCAATGCATTTTTACAATGATAATTTCCAGCACACAGTTTAAATATAGGCCACCTAAAATATATTTTTAATAAAGTGCAAATAAAAACACTTTAAAAAAATAACCTGACTTTTCTCTTCAAGTATATTTTTCTAAAATATATTTTTAGAAAATATAGTAGCCTACAATTATTTGTGTGTTAAAAGTTGTATTGTGAAAATAGGTAAAAGCATGAGGCTAATATACTTTTAATATATTTGAAGATAGTCCAAATTTTGTTAGTATATTTGCAATGTACTATTGAAAAAGGGAATATATTTCAAATACAATAAAGTATCATTTTTTTTCACTAGGGATACTTGGAGCTATACATTGACATCCTACCAAAACCTGGCTTTAGATGAACAAAGAACAGCTTCTACACAGATTAGATCCACTTCGATTAGATCCATTTTTTTAATTTGACACACGTAAATAACATTAGCAAAAATCGGCTGTATATATATATATATATATATATATATATATATATACTGTATATGTAGCTGATTTTTGAGTACCATTATGTTATAAACTGAACTTATTATAAGTACTTACGTGCAGTACTAAGCCAAGGATATCTCCAGGCATATTTTTATGACTTTAATTATGGAATATTGTCTCTATATTGGCCTATAATTCTTTCTTTTTTTATCCATTAACAATGTAATTGCATGCATGCATTTATTTCAGTTTTACTTACAGACTACTTTAACTGCACATGATGTTGCATAATGAAAGAATAAATGTTTATATTGTGGAGACATTGTTTGTTTCTATTTTACTTCAAACTTATCCCCAAGGCCTCTGATCATTTTTTCAGGTCCAGTGGGCACATTGGCTTCCTATGTTACAAATGAATGCATTAAATTGGGTTTGAATTCTAATTTAGAACATGAAAGGTTTTTTTTTTTTTTTTTTTTTTTTTTACATTGTGTTTGGTTGGTTAAAAATGTTTGTTATAATAAAATATTTTACTTTTCAAAAAAAAAAAAAAACATCCATATTGATTAATTTTCCTCCTGAGGACTGCTTTTAAATATTAACTTTCCTTGCCTACTTTTCTCTAACCTCTTTTATAGACGTTTAAATTTTGTTCTTCTGTGGGGTTTGTGATGGGCGTAGTAGGCCAAAGTGCAGAACATTTTGTTTATGCGCTTGGTGGCCTGGAGAATCTGCGGCCCGTTACATCACAGACTGCACAAACATCCTTATCAATGTTTTTCACTCCTCACTGAAGGTTACGGGTGCAACGTGAGCCACACAGCACTATTCTGTCCTGAACAATGCTATTTGGTTATTGGCTGTAAAAAAAAGGTATATTTGATGCAAAAATTCTGTCATCAATGCACCCTCATGTTGTTCCAAACCTGCAAGACTTAATCGCTCAATTCATATGGATTAGTTTTACGATCTTTTTATGAACTTTTTGAAGCGACAAAGTGGTAGTTGTGGCAGAAACCTCTCAGATTTCATTTAAAATACATTCATTTGTGTTTTGAAGGTGAATGAAAGGTTTGGAACGTCGTGGGTGAGTAATTAATGACAATTTTTTCATGTTTGGGTGAACTATCCCTTTGACCTGCATGACTTCTTCTGTTAGATGAAATGTATACTTTCATGCACCCTTGTGGAAAGAAGTAGACTTTAGCATATTTTTAAAAAGAGTACACTCTAAAAAATGCTGGGTTGTTTCAACCCAAATTTGGGTCAAATATGGACAAACCCAAATGTTGGGTTAAAAATGTAATTTAAAATTTTAACCCAACTTCAACTTTCACTTTCAACTGTACATTTTTTAATTACATTTTTAACCCAACATTTGGGTTTGTCCATATTTGACCCAAATTTGGGTTGAAACAACCCAGCATTTTTTAGAGTGTACTTGTTACAGAAATAATACTTAAGTGTGAAATGAATGTAAAGTTTTCAAATGCCTAATTGTTGTTATTTTATGATTAAATTAAATTGTATTATAGGTTAGATTGACAGAAAATGCTGTAATCTTAATTTAGGAGTGCTGAAGTGCAGAGTGATGTCATCAAAATCATTAATGCATATCGGCAGAATTGAGAGACTGTAAGATTTGAATGCTTATATCTTCTAAATGCAAATTGTATCATTGTTTTGGAGCAGACTATAGAGAACAATAAGGCTAACACATTCATACTAAAAGCAAAAAAAAAACTTCAATTTTGATTTCATGGG